CTATCAGGTACAATTGCAGACACCTCTGATTGAAGGATCGGAGCTTACTTTTGGGGGGTATACAATTTGCTGATAATCCCGCAGACAGATGGAAATGGCCGCCGACCGCCTGTACAAGGAGAAGAAGATCCGTGGTTTCTGCCACTTGTCTACTGGACAGGAGGCAGTTGCCGTTGGTATCGAACACGCCATCACCAAGCTCGACGACATCATCACCGCCTACCGATGCCACGGTTTCGCCCTGATGCGCGGTGGTACTGTACGATCCATCATTGGCGAACTGCTCGGACGACGTGAGGGTATTGCCTACGGAAAGGGCGGTTCCATGCACATGTTCTCCAAGGGATTCTATGGCGGTAACGGTATTGTTGGTGCCCAGGTTCCTGTTGGGGCTGGTCTAGCCTTTGCCCACAAGTACAATGATAGCAAGACCGCCAGTATTATCCTGTACGGTGATGGTGCAAGTAACCAGGGCCAAGTGTTTGAGGCTTTCAATATGGCTAAGCTCTGGAACTTGCCTGCCCTCTTTGGTTGCGAGAGTGAGTTTCCCTTGTCCTTTTTTTTTTCCCTGCAGACGTGACGTGACACCTGCCATAGGATCGTATTAACTAACTTCAACACTAGACAACAAGTACGGTATGGGCACTTCTGCTGCTCGATCATCCGCTTTGACCGACTACTATAAGCGTGGACAGTACATCCCCGGTCTCAAGGTTAACGGCATGGACGTCTTGGCTGTCAAGGCTGCTGTTAAGTACGGCAAGGAGTGGACCGCCGCCGATAAGGGCCCCATGGTTCTCGAGTATGTCACTTACCGATATGGAGGTCACTCCATGTCCGACCCCGGCACTACCTACCGTACCCGTGAGGAGATTCAGCGCATGCGTTCCACCAACGATCCCATTGCCGGACTGAAGCAGAAGATTTTGGATTGGGAGGTCACTACCGAGGATGAGCTGAAGAAGATTGACAAGGAGGCCCGCAGCCATGTCAATGAGGAGGTTGCTATTGCCGAGGCTATGGCTGTGCCCGAGCCCAAGCCTTCAATCCTGTTCGAAGACATTTACGTCAAGGGATCCGAGCCCCAGTACATCCGTGGCCGTACCCCTGACGAGAACTACTACTTTTAAGCGCCCTGTATAGGATTCTTTTTTGCCTTGGCAGGGGACCTATGAGAAATCGACCTATGTGCGGAGTAGTGGCGATTATGAAAAAAACAACCTATCTATAATGACTCCTTGGACTTTTCGCCTTTTGTACTATAATCCTTCAGATAGAGGGCCGGAAAGCTCGAAACCAAGCCTGTGTTCTTTGTTGTTTTCAATTGAATAGTTAGCAGGGTGGAATCGATCCAAATTTGGATATGACTTGTAATGGATGCTACAAGAACCTCTGTGCTTGCAAATTGAACAGACGAGAGCAGTTACTGCCTGGCAATAATTATAGTCGTGTACGTCGTAAACGGGTCTCGTGTTAGGCAGCTCAGTGGCCATTACTCTTTTCAGGCCAATATCCATGCAATGCATGGTTCTAGTATTGAGTGGGGCTCAGGCAGTGCCAAGGCTTCCAAGGACTTGCACGTGATTCTAGCTCGCGACGTGCCTTAGCTCCTGGCCGTGAAGCCAATTAACGCGCTTCTGCCTGGCAGCGGCGCGTCATGGTAATAATTGGCTTTATCAATGGCACCATCTGCCGCAGCATCTTGATCACTCATTTAATTCCACATCCGTACTCGACGACTTGTTTCACGCTGGCTACTTACAGGAGCCTGGGAAACATCTTGCGCCGGTCTCTGGTACAATTGGCACTTGGAAGACAGCGCATCATGGCGCCGCCGAAGCAGGCAACCTTGGGGTATGTGAAGGGTACTCAGAGCACTTTGGGGTGCGTGAATTGGTGATGAAAGCTTTAAATTATGATGAATAGCAGTGTTGCTGAAGTGCTTGCATATGAACTCAGAAGTACTAATTGGAATTTATTTTGCCGCCTGTAGGAAATTCTTTGGTGCGAAGAACCCGGCGCCACAACAGCAGACGAAGCTTACGTTTGCGACGAAAGCCCGTGCTGTGGAGGGGGGCGACGAGGATGCGAGTGCGAAGGAGAATACAGATCCCAATCATGGTGAGTTTCTATTGAACTGCGACGCTAATTATTTCGCTATAAAAGAGAGGATCGCTGACGTGAGCTGGTTAGATTCCAAGAAGCGAGCCCGTGTGCCAAGTCAAAATAGTACCGTAAAACTCGAAGACGAGGAGGATGAAGGACCTGTGGTTAAGCGAGCGAGAAGAAGTAGAGTCAAGGTCGAGGAAGACGAAGATGATGAGCCTGCCCAGTCGGTGCCCAAGAAAAAAGATAATGTCAAGGATGTGACAATCAAACAATCCGTTGAAGGGGTTCCCAAAGAGGAAGAAGACGCCAAAGATGTAAAAATCAAGAAAAAGAGCCAGAGTCCGGATCCCGACCGCAAGCACATCAAGACCGCAGATGATGAGTTCAAAGAAGAGGCGGCTTCAGAGTCTGGCTCCGAGGCTTCAGAGGATGCAGACGTCGATGAGAAGCCAGAAGTTGCTGCAAAGGCAAGGGAAAAGGTGCAAACACAGCTCCAGTCCAAGACTGCTCAGCACCCTTATCCTGATTGGAAACCAGGTAGTCCTGTACCATATGCAGCACTATGCCAAACATTCTCATTAATCGAGATGACGACGAAGCGACTGATCATTATGGGGCATTGCTCGCTGTTTCTCCGGCAAGTTATGCGGCTCACTCCGGACGATTTGCTCCCTACGGTTCTTCTCATGATTAACAAACTTGCGCCTGACTATGCTGGAATTGAGCTCGGTATTGGTGAGTCTCTCATCATGAAGGCTATTGGCGAGACCACTGGGCGAAGCCTGCAAGTCATCAAGGCGGATCAAAAAGAGATTGGTGATTTAGGTCTCGTGGCAGTCAAGAGTAGATCTACGCAGCCGACCATGTTCAAGCCCAAGCCGCTTACGGTGAGAGGCGTGCACCAGGGTCTGATGAACATTGCTACTGTTACTGGTAACGGTGCTCAGGGCCGAAAGGTCGACGGCATCAAGAAGCTTTTGTCTGCTGCCGATGCCTACTCTACTGTCAAGGCAGACATTACCAAGGACAAGGGCGGTCCAAGTGAAGCCAAGTATATCATCAGGTTCCTCGAGGGCAAGCTGAGATTGGGTCTTGCTGAAAGAACTGTGCTGGTTTCTCTTGCCCAGGCCATCGTCTGCCATGAGGCTGAACAAAAGGGCAAGGTTCCCAGCACCACCGACATGGAGAATGGAGAATCTATTCTCAAGACGGTGTACAGGTATGTAACCGCGAGGACGAACCAAGCTTTTCTTGTCGCTAAACTGTGTATAGTGAGCTGCCTAGCTACGATGCCATCATCCCAGCAGTTCTTTCGCATGGAATCATGAAGCTGAGAGAGTGCTGTAAGCTGCGTCCTGGCGTGCCCTTGAAGCCCATGTTGGCGAAGCCCACAAAAGCCATTACCGAAGTACTGGATCGATTCGAGGGTCAAAAATTCACTTGCGAGTACAAATACGACGGCGAGCGAGCTCAGATTCACTACGTCGCCAGGGATTCAGGTCAGGAGTTGAGCCGGGAAACCTCTGGAGCCGCCAAACAAGCAGCCGGTGGAGTCGCTAGCATTTTCTCCAGAAACTCGGAAGACCTGTCCAAGAAATATCCCGATATCCTCGCCAAGCTGCACAGTTGGGTCAAGAATGACACCAAGAGTTTTGTGTTGGACTGTGAGACGGTAGCTTGGGATGTCTCTGAGAAGAAGGTGCTCCCATTCCAGCAGCTCATGACGCGAAAGAAAAAGGACGTCAAGTTGGAAGATGTCAAGGTCAAAGTATGCGTGTTTGCCTTTGACTTGCTGTATTTGAACGGTCTCCCCGTCGTCGAGAAGTCGCTGCGTGAAAGACGAGAGCTGCTCCAGCAGTCTTTTGCGCCGGTCGAGGGCGAATTTTCGTTTGCGACCTACATGGATGGCCAGGAACTAGATGAGATCCAACTATTTCTAGATGAGAGCGTCAAAGCCTCATGCGAAGGCCTGATGGTCAAGATGCTGGACGGAACTGAAAGTGGATATGAGCCCAGCAAACGCAGTCGAAACTGGCTCAAGGTATGGCCGGCCTCAGCCATCATCAAAACGAAAGAAAAAGAAAGACGGAAACAATTGCTGACATCCCTCCAGGTAAAGAAAGACTATCTCGCCGGCGTAGGCGATTCGCTGGACCTCGTCGTCCTCGGCGCATACCACGGCCGGGGAAAACGAACCTCCGTCTACGGCGCGTTCCTGCTCGCCTGCTATAACCCTGCCAACGACACCTACGAAACCGTCTGCAACATCGGCACCGGCTTCTCGGAGCAAGTCCTCGAAGAACTGCACGCCCAGTTATCCGAAATCGTCATCGACCGCCCCAAGCCGTTCTACTCGCACTCCGCGGGCGGCCAGCACCAGCCGGACGTGTGGTTCGAACCCCGCTACGTCTGGGAGGTGAAGACGGCCGACTTGACGCTCAGTCCGCGGTACAAGGCTGGCTGCAAGGAGGGCGTCGACCCGGCGGGCGACAAGGGCATCAGTCTGCGGTTCCCGCGGTTCATCAAGATCCGCGACGATAAGAGGCCGGATGAGGCGACGAGCAGCAGGCAGATTGCCGAGATGTATAGAAAGCAGGAGAGCGTGACGAAGAACAAGGGCCCTTCTGTGGACGATGATTTCGAGTACTGAGTGATTGCGATATTCGCGTCAGCCAAGGAATTCGCATGTTTATTAGTGTACTACAAAGCGGTTGTGATTTTCCAAATCACCACTACGTCGAGTATGGTTGTTGGTTGAAGTAGCTTGGTGGAGTGTTGTCTCGGCGTTTGTGGCTCACATGCATGATGGGAGGTCAATGTATGTCTTAGGCAAGCAGATACATTCAATGCGTACGTCTAATCGCTGCATGATACATGATGAATGAAAAAGTCTATAATATGCTCGCAGCATCGTCTGCATCCTCGACCCTCAACAACCCATGTTCCTCACCAGTGTCTTGCTCGCGGTCGTTGCTGTCCAATCCACTAGCTCGCGTATTGCCTGCTGGCGCAGTCCCCGTTCTCCTCGTCTCATCTGCTCCGTTGAGAACGTACCACACATCCTTTTTGGTAAGGAGACCCTGCAGAACGCCGCGATCAGCAAATAGCACGTATCGAAGACCGAGTTTCTGAAAGTACGTCACTACGAGGTGCAGGTCCGTACGGGACGGGAGCGTCAGGGGAGTCTGGTCCATCCACGGACGAAGATCTAGTATTGTCCGGGGATCGGCAAGCGACTGATGCGAGAAGACGACTTCTGTCTCTGCGGACAAGGAACGGGGCGGCTGCGTTGCAGTGCGGATGTTATAGCTTAGTTCTGCGCGGGATATGTATCCCAGCAGAATGGCCTCGCGGGGATCCGAGATGACGGGGAATCCGCGGTAAGCGTGCATTTCGAGGATCGTAGTGAGGGAAGAAATTGTGTGTCCCGTGGCGGTAAGGACGCTCAGATCCTCGATCCGCGTCATGATTTGGGATGCAGGCATGTCGGGGATGGTCATTTCTTCCGAGTTGTCGAGGAATGGGTATTCATTGAAATGAATCCACGACTCGTAAATGCCACGGCGGGAGAAGGCGTCTCCCACCCACTTGGATATCATGACGGCTACCATGATAGGCAGGACGTAGGTCAGTGCGCCGGTGAGTTCGAACATGATAACGACAATGGAGACGGTCATTCGAGTTACGCCTGCCAAGGCGGCGGACGCGCCGATGATGGCGTATGTTCCTGGGGTGATGCACGGGACGTCTGGTGCGCAGGAGGCAAAGACGACGAACTTGGGGTGGTTGTGAACCCAGATTTCCATTATAATTCCCACGGCGCGGCCTGTCAATGCACCAATTGCCATGGATGGAAGAATGATGCCGGCGGGAATTTGGAGGCCAAAGGTGATGCTTGCGAGGAAGAAGCCCAACACTGCCGCAAAGATGAGCAGCACGACGGTCCCGGCAGATGCTGTGCCTGTCCTACAAAGGCCAATGGGGTCGTCAAGAACACGGGAGCATTCCGAGAACAAACTCGACACGAGTTCAGTCGACTGGACTTTCATGTAAAAGTTTGGGTAGTTGATGAGAGCTGTGAGGAGAGCCACGGCAACAACTTGAATAATCGGTCCAGGAAGCCAACTTTGGGTCTTCTTCCAGCGTGCGACTGCCATGTTGGTCCGGATGAAGAGACCACCGTAAACGCCCTGTGGCGTGTTAGTTTCGTGCTTGGACTCGGGAGGTGAAGGAAATATACCCCGAAGATACCCAGAATGGCATAAGGAATAATTTCGAAACCATGCCAATCCACGCTGTACTTGGTCTGATACAGGACGAGCTTGCCTGATCGGAAGGGATCAAAGGCTTGTAAACAGACGGCTGCTGTCATGGCACATACGAAGCTCTGCCACATGGTCTTATCCGGAAAGTAATACGACAATTGCTGGCGTTCATATTAACACGGGCGTGTGAGAATTAAATGTGGTTCTGAAAGTAGGAGCTTTACCTCGAGACTAAACAAGACGCCCCCGATGGGCGAGCCAAAGGCCACAGAGATGCCAGATGCGGCGGCTGCCGAGAGAACCTCTCGTTTCCGAGCTGATGCTTGTTAGGGCGGACTAGAGTTTTGGGCTGGCTCAAGAGGGTCGGTTCTAACCTTCATTTTCTCTAATGTTGGGGAACAGCTTGATGAACAAGTTTGCGCAACAGCAAGCTACGTGCACCAATGGGCCCTCCTTTCCAAGCCACATGCCGGACGCTACAGCAAGCACCTACAGACTCGTCAGGGCAGTGCTCAAGCAGAGACGAACGGCAAAACATACCAGACCAATGGATTTCGTGATCAATGTCCAAGTGCCTAAGAATCTTCTTATAACAAAGCCACCCAGGACTGTCTTGAGCTCGGGGATACCGCTATGCTTGGCATACATGGCATATTCCTGTACAAGAAGAGCAGCACAGTATGCTAGTGTTATCTTGCAACTTGGTCAGCCAGGGCAGAGAAAGGATTTGTAGATACACGCGGAGACGCTTACGGAAAAAAGGAGATAGAAGAGGTATTCGACGACCCATTTTCCCCCAGCAGCTTGGACACCGAGAGCCTCGCTCCAATACTTCCATCCAGCACATTTGGAACCTTGATCATAGCCATAACAGCAAAAGTTCTTGTTGAGATAGAAATGACCGCCCTCCGGTCCGCTGGAACAAAAGCCTAGTTTCAGGTCTCCCAGCCAGTCGCTTGATACGTTTATTCCCGCGGCAATTGCGCCCACGAGCAAACCCGTCAAGACCAGAATAACCCAGACTTGACTGGCATCTATGAAATGTTGGAAATAGCCGACGATTCCGCTCGCGCTAGATGACAGCATACGCATTCGCTGTCGTTCTTTGGTGTACTCGAAGATCCAGTCAATGGCTGTCAGGTCCTCATACCCGACTCGTCGGCCAGGGCCTTCGGTGTACCAATCGTGAGACACTCCATCTTTGGAAGCCGCATTAACTGTGGTGGATTGCGTCCTTTGTGGCGAACCTGTGACCACGGAGATATTTCCACCGCGCTGGTGCCGCCGTTGAGGAGACGGGGTGTCTTGTCGATGGGCTGACGGCGAGCCTGTGAGGGATGAGAAGAAGCGGGATGGACCAGACAGCACAGACGGCTTCGGCTTGCGCTTGAAGGACAGCGGGATGTTCAAGTCCTGGCCAAAGGGGTCGTCGTCGAGGACGTGGCCATGAGCGGCAATGTCGTGGTCACTCTCTTCGTCAAGGAGGTCGAGCTCGTCCCTGTCGTCGGTGGATGGCGGCGTGTGCGCATTCGGGGGCGAACGAGACGAGGATGAGGACGAGGCAGAGGCAGAGGCGAATTGATCGTGCTGGGCGGCTCCAGACATGATGCGGCTCATCCCATTTTCCAGCGGCCGTGGGATGAAGCTGGGATGGGTTTGATGTTGGGCAAGTTTGAAGTCGCACTGCGCCGGCTTGAAGTTGGCCAAGAAGAGGCGTCAACTGGTGGCTTAGCAGAGGCATCCGTAGATTGACACCTGGATTGTAGCGCTAGGCGCCGCTCTACAGGGGTCATCAACCGCCACTGGCCCAAATACTAGCGGAATGACGCGATTAATAGCGAGAGGGTCCACTGACATGGAGGTCGTTCACACGCTGATTGGTGCGCGTCATGGATTTCTGGCAGTCTTTCATCACCACATCAGACAGCAACTTCCAGTATAACAGCCATCATGGTGTGTTCTACAATGCAGATACCAGGTGACTGTTTGTCCGCGTTCTGAATACATATGACACCATACGCAACTCTTGTTCTTACTCGAAAACCCCTCCGCAGCAGTAGCAGCCTCCATGAAATCCCACACTCACCCACATCGGTCTTGAGAAAAAGACTTTGAACGTCAACCTCATCCAAATCATCATGGATCACCAATCAGCCGCCCAACCCAGCCAATCCTCACAGGCCGACTCCTCAAATACTCAAAATTCCACAATCCCCCAAATCCAAGCATTTCTCAGGTCCAAGGACGACACCCAACGCTTCGTCGGCCTGGCTCTGCTCAAGTCCGTCCTCGACAACACGCCTAACCTCCGGCAGGATGAGCAAGTCGTCAAGACCCTATGGGACAGCATATCCCCCCGGTTTCTGGACAGACTCATAAAAACAGGGTCCACGCCCTCGGGTGAAAATACCAAGGAGATGCTGGACCTCGTTGTGTCTGTCATGCACACGTTTGCTGCGCTGCTGCCTGAGTCGGCGAGGAGCGAGGAGAAGTTCACGGGGAGAATACCTGGACTCGTAGGAGCTGTATTGTACAGGCATGTCACAGACCCTAGATAGATTCCCTTTTCTTTTTTCTTTTTGTCTTTTCTTTTTTAATCTGCAAAGCTTGCTAACAGGATACAGTTCTGACGAGACAACGGCATTGCTACTACAACTTCTTCACACGCTCGTCAGCACGCCAGCGGGTGCAAAAGCCTTCATCGGCGCAGGTGATGTCAGCGCCCTAACCGAGATTGCACCAACACATGCCCTTGTTATGGATATCCTTTGCTTCGCGTGGCTGAATGGCATGGCCATCGATATAGAGAAGCACGTGTTGATCAACCAGATTGTTGATACCATCCAATCGCTCGTGTCTTCATTCTCGGGGACGGATGGTGTTACCCTACTCGAATTTCTGGGAACCTTCTTTAGACAGGCTGACCCAACCGTACGCCACCTCGTCCTTCCAAACCCATTTCTAGAGAATACGCAGCTAACCATGATGACAGGTCCTCCCCCATGAACCTGGATGGCTTAAAACAATCGTCGGCTTCATCCATACCCTCGTCACCAGTCGTCCCAACACAGCCGCCAGATCAGCCTACACCAACGCCGCTGCATCCCTTCTACAGGCCTACCCACAATCAACACCAAAGCTACTCTTCGCCGAAAACACAAAGGACGACAAACCTTTCGGGTACCTCTTGATAAATCTCATGCTTATCGACATTCGATCATCCGCGCCAACACTCCTCGAACAACTAAACAGTCCCGAGTACGCCAAACTCTCCCGTCGACTAGCGTCCGCCTTTGACGTTATTTCCATCTTCATCGGACATCTTGTCCGCTGTCTCGAAGACGAGTCCCTAGACACGCTCATCATGTCCCCAGACAGTCTGTTAAAGCTGCGTAAAGGCATTTCAGAAACCATGTCTGTGACGGTGGAGTACCTCCGTGACAGGTGGGATGCCACGTTTGCCGGAGCAATGGGCCTGCACCCCGATGCGAGAGCTTCCAATGCCGAAACAGCATCTGGCTCGCATCGGACGTTGGCATGGGACTCCATGGTGAATACAGCCGATGAGGATCCATTGATTTTGTCGGCGGTGAGGGCGCTAGCGCTGTGGCTAAGGGAAGACGAGAACGAGACGCTTCGAAAGGAAGCAACCGGTTTGATTGACATGCTAATGGAGCTTTATCAAAGCAGTTCCTCGGAGAAGCTGGATTTCCGAGCCGCTATCCTGGTGGGCATGGAAGCCTTGGTCACCCTCCCGCAAGGGCGGCAGTTATTCCTCCACAACGACGGGTGGAAGATTCTGAGCAAAGACCTCATTAGTCTTTTTCAATGCTCCGAAGAGATTGAGCATGCCAACACCGCGAGGGGCATTGAAATCGTGCGGATTTTGCTCTCGGTAGCTGAGGAAGAGTCGTCGGGTACCTCGGAGGAATGGATGGATCTCGTCACTGCCGTGGCAGCATGGGATGTCCCCACGCAGGACGTCTCACCGCTAGCACAAGAGTTGCAGGTTGCTGTTTTGCAACTATGCTGCACTTTGTTGGTTGGTGCGAGCGACGGCATGCGCAGCAGATACAGACAGTCGATTGCTGCGATTCAGGGGATTGCCGCTCCGTTGCGGCGGAAAATCGGCAAGGACGACGCGTTGGCCGAGGCGATGGAAGACGTTGTAGATACATTGAATGGATTGACGCTAGGAACCAGGTAGTCAAAACCAGAATACCAAGTCGAAATTTTTTACAACTCGTCTGACCAGGCCATTTGGGTTCGTATTCGAGAGAACGACGGTGTATTAAGCAGCCCCGACTTCTTGGCCCAACGTAGTAGCCGCCTCTGCAGCCCTGCCCTTGCTCTGCGCAGCTGCTGCCTTGGCCCTCCTCTTGCGCGCCCTCCTCACTTCGATCTCAACATGCTGCATCTCCGCATTGACAGACACCAGGCGCGGGACGACGTCCTCGACAGCCCTGATGGAATGGCGCTGAGCAGCCCGCAGCGGCATGGGCGTTAGAATGCCAAACCAACGAAGAGGATCGCCCGTCTCGTTACTCTTCGTCTCCTCCTTGTCGCCCTCTTCTCCTCCTGTACCTGGCGACCTGACGGGTTGGCCATCTCCAGATACGTCATGAGCTTTCTCCGCAAGTTTTTCTTCTTGCACATTCTTTTCCGCCTCTACAAGGGTGGAATCCTCCTGAGAAATTGTCGTCACAGTGAATCTGGGAAGCCCATTTTCAGCGTTCGTTATGCCAACCCGTCGACTGGCTCTCATTCTCTCATCGTAGTGATCCTGGCCATATCTCAGGCCACGTTCGCCGGAAAAGTTCGCCCGGGCGATATTGTGATATACGTCTGACTGGAGACTGGAGAGCTGTTTGCGCAGCGCTGTGTACTCGTCTAGCAGGGCGAGATAACGCTCTAGAAGCTGGTCGATGTGACCTTGGTCTTTGTCTCGGTCCGAAGACATGGCGGGTTTGTGCCCGAGCGGCGATGTGATTCACGGACGGGTGCGGCTGAGAGGAGTAGTAATGAGAGGTGCTGTGAGGCTACTTGAGTTGCACAGCAGACTTCGCCCTGGATTTTGCCTGCAAGAGTTAGCTTGTTGGGCTCAGTGGTGTCTGGCACGGATGATGGCGTTGAGGCATCCAAAGTCAAATTCCAAGTTCCAAAGCTCAAGTGGGCCTGCATGTGGTCACTGGTCAGCCTGCCGTTGGTGAGACCTGGCAGATAACCAAATTCTGGTGCTCCAATTCTCTACGCCTTACGGAGTACGGAGTACACACAACTTTTCTCGGCATAAAAACATAATTCGCCATATATACTCTAGTCTACGATGACAAGGTGTCTTCCTCAGTGGCGCGCTGGTTCATCTTCTTCCACAACGGCGGCCCTCCAATGAAGGTCGCACACAACACCGACGTTATGGCCGAGATGATCGCTAAACTCCATCCCACAGTTGCGAATCCTGCACTTTGATTTACAAACCCGCCCAGCAGAGGTCCTATCATGACTCCTGCGGAAAACGCAATATTGTACAATGCATAGCCCAGAGCGATGGGTTTCACTCCCTGATCTTTGTATCGCCCTTCGATGGCATATGTAATTTCGGCCGTGACGGGGCCAAATGTGAAGGCGACCCCAATACCAACTCCCGCCAGGAGACCGCACAGCATGACTTTATGCGCCGTTGTATTGGCTGTCACAAATCGAAGGCAGACAAGGAAAGGAGTATATGTCATGAATCCAAACGCAGACAGCCACCGGGGACCGTATCGATCACAGAGGTGTCCTACGACAGGGCCAAGACATGTGGGAAAGACCAGCGGAAGAAATATGAGCCCTGCTCCAACAGAGCTCCATCGGAATGTCGTTTGAACGAAAATCGGAAGGGTGCTGTCAAATGCCGCCAAGACAGCAGCTTCTGCCACCGTTCCCCAAAGCGCAGCAAGAAGTCTCGGGCTAGTAAACAGTCCGAACATCTCCTTCACGGTCAGCTGGCCGGGTCGCTTTTCACTACAGAGGTTTTCGTCGTCGTATGGCTGACTTTGTAACGTCTCCTCTGCATCATCTGCCTTTGAGGACGTGCTGCGGCTTGGTACGTGGCTGATTTCAGATTGCGTTGTTTCCGCCTGTTGTAGCCATTTCGTCGCATTCTTCTTTTCAATCACCAAGAGACGAAAGGCAACATCAACACCAACCAAAGCAAAACACATTGCCCATACTTCATAATAGCCACCCTTTTCAAAAACAACGCCTCCCAGCAAAGGTGAGCTCAACGTACCCAGGGCTAGGGCGATGCCTACCCATCCCATAGCCCAGCCTATTCGTTCCGTGGGCACTGTATCGACGACAAGAGCTAGGCCAACTGACCACGTCAGAGCACTAGTCATGCCTTGCAATATTCGGCCGAGCATCAACATGGCGACATTTTTCATGAAGCAAAGGAGAAACGTAGCGGCGGTAAGGATGACAAGCCCAACAAGCATCGGAGTTCGTCGGTTCTTTGTTCTATCGGCGAGAATACCCCAGACGGCTTTATTTCTGTCAGTTCATGGTTTTTTTTGTCTACCAAAGATTCACTCACGTGCGGAAATGAAGACGGCTATACCAAAGGCCGCCAGCGAAACAGAGATCCAAAATTGCACTATAACCGCTTAGCATGAGCGAATAGTTTTGAGCGGCTACCTGAACAAATCCCCCCTTACCTTTACTTTTATGAACACCAGCTCGTGACTCCAAGGCATACGGTAGTACAGGCACGATGACGGCATAGGGAAAGATATCCTAGGATCACACTTTAGCACCAACTTGTAAATTTGGATCTTTTTCCAGACAATACGCACAGTAAAAACAGCAGTTGCCACCATCAAAAGAATAAAAGTCACAGATGAGCGCACTTCCAAGAGCCAAGGTCGTTTACCCCTTCTTGTCACCATGTCCCAAACCCTCAATATCTTCATTCTCAGGTGCTTTGTTTTTTGATCTCTCAATTTAAACAAAATATATCATATAAGAAACTTCAAGGTAAGAATAAGGCTTGTTCATTCTAGGGACAATGTTTTTCGTTTTCCTTTTCAGCGTTGTTGGCCAATAATGGTCTCGAAGTATACTTATAAAGGTCTGGGTCTGTAAACGAATCTTGGAAAAAAAAAATGGTAGGGAAGCTGAGATGGACCCGCCAGAACAGCAATACGAAGAAAAAGAGACGGCTTCGACGTATTAAAATATCATACCACAGCGATGGATTACGGCTAACGAACGACGGTTGTAGAGTATAAGCCAAGTAGGTTTCCTTCGGTTATAGAAGTCCGCGGGTCCCGAAACCACGTTTTGGTGCAAACTACATGATGGATCAGCACACAACTCTTCGGCTACTAAACACGGAGCTGTTTGAGAGATTCGGCAGCGGAGGAGGAGCCTCAAAGCCGGGTTCGGAGCTGCTGAAAGTCTGGGTCTGTGTGGGTGCCGTTGTACGTGAAGGGAGCTCACGGCCGTCCCAAGGAAGATCCGTCCGTAGGCGTCCGAATGCTGGTACTGTCCGACTTGGATTGCGCAATGTCTTCAGGAGCCCCAGTTGCAGTCAAAATGATGGACAGCTTGTTGACGCTTTGTTTCGGTTTGGTGCCGTCTTTCCGGACCGTAATGCTTGAGATGGAAAGTATGTACATGTTCAGCCAGTGCGCAACCTCCGGAAAGACACCATGTAACGCTACAGAGCTTTGTGGGTAGTGCAAGTACGTAGGCGTCAGGAGCGAATGTGACGGTTTTGTCTTCCGTGGCTGGTTTTCAAAGGAGAAGACATGGCTCAATTCTTGTCATGGTGAAGTCGCCGGGAAGATGGACGAAGGGAAGGAAGGCATAACCAGCCAACTTCCTAAACCGGACATGAATCACTGCAAACTGAATGCAAAAAACCCGACCTGGCCTCCTTTCTCAGCTCCGTTGTCCTCTCTCCATAATGTTTTGCACTCTTTACAAACAACTGTTCGGAAAGACGGCACTCTTTAAGCTTCATCTCTAGCTCGAGTCGTGCGCGTACGCGTACGCGGAATCAACCCATGGACACATGCCCGGCATATCTCCAGTCAAGCCTGAGTGTGCAAGATGCCAATACTCCGAGCTCCGGATTGCCGAATCGCCACGGCAATTTGTGTGTGCCCCCGGAGGCGCTAGATCTAGAGACAGATCGTTTAATATGGGCCGGATACCAACTACGTGGCAGATAGAGTAGCATCGTTAATGGTCAGACCTCCTACATTTCGTTGCCAGAAGACATGCCATGCGGCGCTTGGACAATGATCTAGGCCGCTAGAAGAAGCTGGGAGACAGTATACAGCCAATGTCACATCGACGTATCATGGCTTCGATTGGAAGGATAGTACCTTGCGTGATCGGTTATTGGGCACCACGGGGGTTAGTTTTACTTGAGGCCCCATTTTCCGAGAAGCAGAATGCGTTGGCCGAGATATTTAGAAGCGTACGTTTTGCAAAGCATGCTACTATAGAATGCAGACTCTTTTCTCTTCGTGCCGCCGGGAGGTTGTTGCTGACAAAGAACCATGGTCAGACAATGCGTCTCAGCTACACATGCTTATTTTCAACACAGTAGGATAATACTACTCCCGTTTCCCTTTGCCACGAGAAACTCCGGCAGCCATTGTCCTGTCATCCAGCCCTTCCCCCGAGCCAGTCAGGAGCCACTCATCACCCGCTCATCACCCAGCTACAAAGTTCATGCTGGTCATGCGGAGAAGATTTCAAGTGAGAATCGAACGATATGGGCCGGCCATGCCTTCGATGCAGCTTCAGAGTTGTACGACATGACTTCAGATGCATCTTGTAAAAAGGAATATGGGTGCCGGGAGTCAAAGTTTCCATGCTACGCCATTGACGTAAAGAATTTCACGCAGTTTGAGAGCGTTGAGGCTAATAAATCAGCTCAGAAAAGGCATTTGACGCAGAACAATCCCGAATCCCAGGGCACTCTCTCCGCTGCTTTGCCGCCGTCACCTTTATAATGCTCCGTCAGCAAACGTATCGACCTGTTCTGCCACGTGTAGTGGTCAGAGGTGCTTATGCCACAGCTTCTTTGGCGACGAAAGCATTGGCCAAGGCATGATTGTTTAATGAAGGACCATTGACAAGGTACAGGATGGCAGGCGGCCTGTATCCATGCCCTCCTGTCCAGCTGCAACCTTCCGAGACGAGTCCTCGAACGAGTCGATCGAGCGTTTAATTTCAACCGCTTCTACTTGAATTCTTGCGCCAACGGATGCCTGCCTCGCACAGCAAATCTTTTTGTAGCACGGGCTCGGCCCGGTGGGCATCACCCTTGACGATCGAGACATGTGGCCCTGTCGCATATCACGCGTGGCGTCAAGTACTATCAGAGAACGATGAGTCCCGACTAGGGCATGGACATGATATCTTCTACCTCGCTATGCTTGATACAACGTAAGCAAGCCGGACAGCCTGGAACGGTCTGTGGGCAGGGGCCGCTTCATCGATATGTCTGCTGCGGCCGTCAAAATCTTTCACATACGAAAACTATTCAAGAGAGTATCCAGTTTCCTGCAAGATATACATATGCATAAATACATCGCCAAGTTATGTCAATCCATCACATCATGCGATAGCATCCAAGTACGTGGTGCGCGAGATGGAGATAGCTTGGTAGGTTTAAAGGGTCTCGGTCCCCCTGCATCCTCTTACAATACCAGCTAAATCAGACATGGGACGTTCACAAACACGCATTATAGAAGACAGCGAGTGAGGACTTTGTCACAAGAAACAAATTGATGAAACGAGGTATCCCAGGCGCCATGGCTGTTTGATTTCCTCAAAGCCTGTAGCCTATTCCGGGGTATCTTCTCTCCATGGCCTGCAGAAGGAAAGCCAGTGATGGAAACGTGGCCCTGGGACTCCATGTCGAATATACCCTGTAGTTGCAGGGTTGGGACTACCCCTGGCCCACTGAGGGTACTAATTTTGAGTGCAGATCTCCCTTTTGTTCAAACCCTTTTTGGCCAACGGAGTCTTGAAAACATCATCTGACTGCGGTTGGTGACGAAGTCAGATGCTTTGGCGAAAGCCATCAATTGATCCGTGTTGGCTAGTCCCCCTTAGTGTGCCCGACTGCATTCGCATTTGCATGAAGACTCTTCATAACAAAAACTAGTTTGACTCTCATCAGCATTGGCACATCAACACGATCGATTTCCATATCAGAATTGCCATGTTGTGGTCGAGACGACTGCCACTGCAGCTTACTCGGTACTCGCCCAAATAAAAGGTGGACAACGTTACGACGTAAGGTGGAATACCATGATCGAGAGGGATTACCTTTCAGATTTGACATGGCTGCCTGCCCACGTTTTGGCATGCGTTTGGCATGCGGCGCTCCTTCCGCGCCAGATAGTCTCTCATATGCGCTGACTGCATCGTACTTGCCTCATCGTGCTCTGACCTCGAAGGCGAATTTGCACTCCACACTCCGTACTGCATAAACAAAGTAGAAAGTCCTGCATGTCTCATGGGCCCTTCATGTCCTCACGCCTCCTATTTGAACATAGGGCAGCGTCGTATATCACACACGCTGCAGCCAAGCCATCAACGGCCAAAGAGCTTCGTGGACTCGGTCGTCTTGGACCGTTCGGTTCGTGTGAGAGCCCTGCGAGCAACTTCTACGTCACAGCACCTCAATCTTCCCAAATGGCTTGAATGTTGCACCAGCCCGAGGCCGGCCAGATCTTTGCCAGTCCACCACACCACTCCTACCCTGTTCCAAAACGCGCGCCAGGTAGCCCAATGACAGTTGGAAGTTGAGAGAAGGTCGGGCTCTTACGCAGGCCGTTGGTCGGTCCGCAACGCCAAACAGAACAGCAGACACCTCGGTGCTTTCCAGAGCACTTGCAGCTGCCCCGCTCGCCTCTCACCCGAAAGACACCCCCATTGTCAGTTTGAGTAAGGAAGGGGAGCTTAGAAAACCGTTCGACGGACCAGGCCTTGAGGCCACGAGAACACGCATACTGAATCAAAGAGGCATCAAGACGGCCCCTCACGGCACAATCATGACTCACGCTGGTGTTGAAAGACCTTTGTTGATCTACGTCGCTGTTTCGTTGCACAATACACAAGCACAGAGTAGGCAATAATAAGCTGAGACAAACATGATATATACCGCAGCCACATCACAAGCGCCAGGGACTGAGGGAGGTACGAGGACTGAGGAGTTATCACAGAAGGCTCCTCCCAGCTCATAGGCTCACAGGCTCACAACACCGCACAGCACAGCACAGCCGCAGCCAGTCGATAGCCCACACCGCAGATGTCACAAAGCCTTGCTACTAGCAAATTGTGACGACATTATAATACTCGTGTACTCGGTATGCCGTACCAGGGACAAACAATCAGAATGTTTGGGCGGCGCAGGGGAGGTTAGGAACTTTTATTGTATTGTGTGGCGTATGGGACCGAGTATTGTGCCCTGGTTTCACGGGACGAGAACAGAGTAGCGTCAAACCTCTGTCTCGATGACGGCATGGGTTGTGACATAGCACCCTAGGTATTTTCCTAGACAACATGCCGATAAAAGACAGTTCTACATACTACTACAGCCCGGGCGCGACAAGGTTTGGGGAATAGACTGCCGTGCTATTACGTGGTGCGCCATACTCCGTATACATATTACGACACAATACAAGATGGAACGCCAAGCACGGTTCGGGCGCAGAGTGGCGGAAGAGGCAAAGGTATCCACGGAAGCAGGTTGAATCAGGCAGGTTAAAGCGGGTTTGTGCAGTGCTTTGCATTCAAATGCCAAATGCGCCATGGTGTCGAGTCGGGTTCAAGTCGACGTTTTGTTTGCTCACTCACACCTGCCCTCTGGCTGCAGATGTTCTTTGAAGGAGGGTGGAAGGCCTTTTCTGTTTTCTGCCAATCTGGGGCACAGCTGGTCGAGTTGTGGACTGTGCTGCTGCACCAGGACGTTTGTGCGGCACCAATTCAGTCTGGATGCGTTTCGATTGGTCCCAGAGTCTTGACTTTTGAGGTCTTCCGCATGGCCATGGTCGTGTGAAGTGAGCAGTCAACCTGGTGTCTTTGGGCCATTCTGCACCCAGGTCAGTTGCTCGTGTTCACGGCGAGTACAACTTACCTAGGCCGTTGATACGTGCTTTGCGTCCCGAACTCGACAAGGAGCTTGAGCACCTCAATGTCGAGCTGTTGACCACTTGACCGTCACCATGTCATTCGCCCGCTGGCCCACTGGCTCCTCTCGGCCGCACCTGCCACACGTTGACGGGCCCCTCCTTCCCAGGAAGCCTGCACTCTTGTGCTCCTGTAATACTCGTGTACTCCCGTACTCGTGCGCTCCTGCACTCCTCCTGCACCCCCCGAGCGCTTGGCTCGACTTCTCTGCTACTCCAAGGGCTCCTCAAGGGCTCCTCCGTCCTCAAGTCCTCACCGTGTCTGAAGCTTGATCCTCATCACCCAACGTCAAAAAGAGCCCGCGCTGCGACTTTTGGCCTTTTGCGCCTCCGTCTCCCATCCCCATCCCCATCCCCATCCCGACTCACCTCACCTCGCCTCGCCTCGACTCGACTCGACTCGACTCGACCCGACCGATCGTCTCTCGCCTCTCATCGTTTCTTCACGCTCTGTTTGCTGCGAAGCGCCACCACAATCATGGCCGTCGTCGCAACCATCAAGTATGTCGGTCGCCATCCTTATCCTGCTGCCTCAATGCTGCATCCATACCGCCGCATTCTTCCTTTTTTACGCCCTCCACAGCGTCCTTGCCCGTTTTTTCTTACCTGTTGCTCGATGCCCGTTTCTCTCTATCAGAGCACCCGCGCCATCTCCATCGCCGCATCTTCAACGTCCCCTGCTATTTATTGCACCCGTTTCATCACCAAAATAGTACCTCACCACACTTACTTCCTTCTCCCCGACGCTGAGAGTGTTGATCTCCTCGAGGCCGAAGCAAGTGGCCTGTGCCGTGCTAATAGTTTCTTTTCTGTCCACATCCGGCCGTGCTCCACCATGCATTATGTATCAGACTCTGGCTAACCGCTCGTGCAATTGTTTACTAGATGCGTTGTCGTCGGCGACGGTGCTGTTGGCAAGACGTGCCTTCTCATCAGCTACACCACCAACAAATTCCCCTCCGAATATGTTCCGACGGTCTTTGATAACTATGCCGTTACGGTAATGTGAGTGGAGTAGCCGTTTTTTTTTTCCCTTTGGCATGGTCTTCAAACCCATTCGTCATCCTTGGGAAACACCTCGAGCCAGATGCGCATCTATGTGCCCTACGTGGCTGAGGCTCGGGCGCGACAGCCAATATAGGCCTTTGCTTGTGTGTCGTGGGTGTCGTGGCCAGCTTTCGCGACAAGGCAAGGACACAAGCACGATGCCAACAAATTCTAACTCGATCGCGCCATAGGATCGGCGACGAACCCTATACCCTCGGCCTATTCGATACCGCCGGTCAAGAAGATTACGACAGACTGCGACCTCTCTCATACCCTCAGACCGACGTCTTCCTCGTCTGCTTTAGCGTTACGTCGCCTGCTTCGTTTGAAAACGTTCGCGAAAAATGGTTTCCCGAGGTTCACCACCACTGCCCTGGTGTTCCCTGCCTCATTGTTGGCACCCAGGTCGACTTAAGAGACGATCCCAGCGTCAAAGAAAAGCTCATGAAGCAGAAGATGACGCCTGTTAGGAGAGAAGACGGCGAGCGCATGGCTAAGGAGCTGCACGCCGTCAAGTATGTCGAATGCAGTGCGCTTACGCAATTCAAGCTGAAGGATGTGTTTGATGAGGTAGGTTGACCACGGAGCAGACTCATGACATAAAAACACGCCTTCTCCATTCTCCGCCTCTGAAAGAGATAGGTTCCTGACTTTCCAATTTTAGGCCATCGTCGCCGCCTTAGAACCACCGATGCCCAAAAAGAAATCTCACAAATGTCTAATCCTTTAAGGATACCCCATGCCGCGAATAAATAAAGACAAAGGATGAAATTGAAGAGAGAGGGAAAGAAACACTCCTATGCCTCACTTCATGAAATGATGCGGCCTTCACCTTGGTATATTGTTACATGGCCAGAAGGTGAAGGAGGCCTCTGGCTGGCCTTGAAATTTAGACACCAACCAACAGTGGTGAAAGAAATAGCATTGGTTGTGGCATAGCTGCCAGATCAAGGAGCAACGGAGTGCGAGAGCCCGAGTATATGTCAAGGCAGCGAAATGAAGCATCTCATATTTGGAAGACAGAACGTTTTGGCTATGTTGCTCTAGCAGATATATTGTGCTCGCGGAATCATTTGGCCGACACCAGCCGCGATGGCAGTGGGCTACACTGTTTCAGACATGGCATTGCTACGTTGTTATAGGGCTGGATAAGTAAGCATCCCGCTGCGCTATTTCGGACACTGATTTTTCGAAGACGGGATCTGCGGTGCTACCTGTTGTTACTCTGTATTTTCTGTTGGCGGGACCGGGCAACTTTTTTTTATTTAACCTTTCCATACATTGATGCTTCGATAGGATAGTTTGGCGATTGGAGTGCAATTATATCGAATTCTTGTCTCAGATGATGTATCAAGCATTTGTAGATATATTGGCGGAGAGTTACATTTCCGCCGTTGGCTCCTTGTCCCTTGTTCAGACGTGACTTGATTCTTGCCACTTGGAGGGTGATGCCTGGTAGTATGATCATCAGTTCCATTGTGTAGTTCTACGGCCGAAGCTGGGGAATATGAAGTACCAGGCAGTTGACGCTTGACATGTATGGCTGCAAGCGTGCACTTGCGACGAGCGGTATCTCACATGTCAACTCACATTCTTTTCATGCCCTCAATGTCCCTTCTCCCCACCTACTACTCTGCCTAGGAGCTTTCCACACAGCTCTTGACTCATTGTAATCACGCAGCATCAACTCGTTGAAGGTTGTCAAATCACCCAATTACCGTGGCGTCCTGGTATTAGCCCGTCGTGTGCTCAAATGAGCGCTGGCCAAATGCACCCAGGGCAGGCACAGCATGAGTCACTCATCTACGCCGTACGTGTACGTGTACGTGTACGTGTACTTGGCTCACGGCGACGGCATCTCGACAAAACACTGCCGGCAATCCTCGTCCATTTCGCAACGGCGGTGCCGACCGTGTCCCGCAGAGTTGAGTTGTAGTCTGGCGTATATGTGGTGCTGTTGCTTGTAGGCTTGCCGAAAATTCAAGCAATTCGACTGTTTCCTCCCCAGCTGAGTGTCTGATATATTACTATCAGTGCTACCACTTATATCGCCGCGGTCGAGGCTGATACACAGCCATGGAAAGTGATGGGCACTTTGCTCTCTTTGCAGGCCTGCTCTCCTGCTCTTCTACGGCTTCGCGGACCGCCTTTGGAGGGCACAATGGTGGAAGGGGGGGTGGGTTGGATGAAAGCGGATTTGGTCAAGGTGGCCGAGTCGGAAGCTAAATGGGCTTACGAGGTAGGATTTGATTTTGGATTTGAATGATTGTATTATGATGTGGATGTACTGTCAGTAGTGGGCATTCCATGGAGCCCGGTCATTCGCTCCCCTGAACAACGTCAAATGTCTTTTGATGTCTCTATACGGTTTGATATTGACATCATCGGCATCGCCTTTCACACGACGGTTTCATATTCGGCCCGGTTCACCATCATCTACTACGCCTACAGCTCAGACTCGCCCTATCAGGCCACGCTCATAAACCTCAAATAACGGCCAAGAAAGGAACAGGGTGCCTGAATTGGCACCAATATCCGCTAAGCTGCCGTCCTCCAACCCCCATCAAAAACTGGGCCATGATCGACTGCGGCGACATCCCAATTCTCACAACGTTCGATCACAACATGATGAAGGAGCAGATGCCTCAGGCGACCCAAAGAGCTAAGAAAACCAAGGTGCGTGCCGTCACTGAGTGGGATGTGAAAATTGGGACGCCCGGGGGAATCACGGCTTGACGGTACCAGCGTTGAGGGCACTGAGCGAGATTTACCGCCAACAGTCATGGTTCCTCATTTCGACGAATTTTCATCATGTTCTCGCCTCTCGCCAGTGCTCACTGCCTCTAATGAGTGATAGCACACCTTGAGACTTGGAATCCGGCGGTGTATCGACTTCCCTGGGGCACAACACACTTTACCAATGGCTCTATGGTTTGGACGGCCAGCCAGGAGGGTCTGCTATCTAACGCGAGTTCCGAGAATTTGGTGCATGCCGGGCTTCGCATGCGTCTCAGCGGGGACGAATCTACAATTAACGAAGATGACTCGTTGCAGGGTTGGAAGATGTTGATGATTTAGGCATGCGCGGTATCGTCGACGCGCTGGGGGACAATGATTATAGAGGATCCTGTTTATTTGTGCGCATGTATTGACGGTCTTGACACGGCGGCTGGACGACCCATGATTAGATCTCGATGGTGGGGAAGGGGGGGATGGTTGAATCTGGTGGGAGGCGGGTGTGAAGGAGGAATCGCCGGTTTATAACAATAACAAGAAGGAGACGGTCTTGGCGGCGCCGTAGGTCTTGTGTGAGGTGTTGAGTTTCATGATAGAGAAGAGGGCAGGGAGGATGGGATCTTGTAAGCCGGGTTGTCATTTGCGTAACGGCCGCACACGGCCATCGGTGATACGGCAGCAAGGGCATGCAGCCAGGCTCGAGGCCCGGAACAGACATCTCAGCTCGCCTCGTGCTTGCTTGGCGCGTCTAGAGGAAACTTGTCGTTTCATTGGGCTGTGCTCCGTATCTCAGAACTGACCTCGATTAAGGGGTCCCGTTGCGTTCTCTTCCTGCTCCTGTCTTGGCCAACCCCGCCACGCCCGATGCTGACCCGGCTTTGTCAGTCCGCAAACAAAGCATGAACCACGGAGCAGATAGATGTATTGCCCTAACAGCCGAACAACAGGGTCCAAGACAGCGTGTTGACTGTATGTAACATATTGACTGTTTTAGCCGGGCTGAGCTTGGCCTATTTTGGGTGTACAATGCGGTCAAGTTGCATATACGGAATATGCTTGTATGCTTTCCCCTGCTGTGCATCCGGACACGCTCCTGACATGTTGGCGTCAATGACATGCCAGCCATGTGACCGCATGGCGGCCATGCCACACTAACAACGGGATACCACAAACCCCAGAGACCCCTGACCCGGCCTTGGCCCTCTGAGGGTTTGATGCAGTCACAAGTCCACGAGTCGAGGGAATGGGTGACGCTGCATTGGTGGTCGACCCCACAGGTTGCCCGATCTGCCACAAGATTTCGGGAAGGGAATCAGGATATTAATTACGGAGTACATGCGAATCATTGCTGCGGCAAGAACTCCAGGACCCCTTTTGCGGTTTCAAGGCTGGTAAACAAACGTGGGAGAGATGAGAAGTACGTAATCGCACAGGCGAGAACGGGCATGGAGAAACGCAGACAAACGTCAAACAGTAATAGCCTCCGTACTATGGCGGAAGGGACAAGGATGGCGGACGTTTCATGCCCAGGCCGGGACGGCAAACAAGCTGCCCCAATGATTAGGGTCTGGCCGTAGAGCACGACCTCTCGGTTGGTACTGTTGGTTCTGGGCTTGTCTAGCATTTTGGGTGTTAGTACTAACAAGACGTACTCTGCATTCTTTGCATCACCTGCATCTGTGAGCGAGCGGCAGTTGGAATAGGCTTTTCCATGTCCCCAGCCCACTTCTGTCTTAATGCTGACTCGATTGTTGCAACAGCGTACGTAATAGTTGTACCCCGTATTGATGGGCAACAGTCATGTCGTGCATTAACCCTCATTTTGCACATCACAAAGCCCCCGCCGTGATGGAGTTGGAGCGATTGGAGCGCCGCGGCCTTGTCTGTTAGAAAGCCGGTCCAGGCCTGCCTATTGAAATCATTAAAAAGGAAGTCTTTGTGTGTTTGTTTCGGTGCCGCTTCATCGTGCTTGTCGTGGCCGCTGCACAATGGAGTCACTTGGACTGTGTTGGGGGACCACTCCATATTTGCCTCCTCAATGCATTCCCCCCCTGTCTGCTTGAATCATGCCAGAAGAAATGAAAAGAAGAAGGGCATTCTTGGCCATGCGCTTCGTGGCACATGACAGTAGTAGGTACAAACAATTGTTTGACGGAAATACGGAATATTCCATGTTCGCCCACTGCACTGCCGGAACTCATGGGCGTGGTGCTGGCCAATACGTGAAGTATTATTATCCAGGATTGGCAGACAGAGTCCACCAGTGCTTGGTCCAATTTGTGCAACACATTTTTGCCGCGGGAACACATCGTGGTGGATGCAGAAATGACTGACGTAAAACTGCTTGAAGATGCAGAGAGAAGAAAACAGGAGAAAAGGAGAGGGGGGAAAAATCACTCGGCAGGTTAAATGTCAAGCCTTCAAGTCGGCACGCAAGGGCTACATACATACTTTACACAGAGACAGCAAGAACGAGGCCGGCTTCCATTACTCGTTGCCTCTTTTTATGGCGACCTCCCCATCCCTTTGACTGTGTTAAGGCGCCGCCTTTGTATCTACTCCAGAACACCCTTGTCGAGTATTTCTACCTGTATGTAAGCCTAAAATACTGCCAACTAATGTACCAGGGACGATTAATAATACTTTTATGATCAATAAATGCGTGAGTATACATGTACTTACTTAACGCCTAAATCTCATTGGATATCATCCCCGCAAGGGACTTTGCTGGCACCTCAACACACTCAAAGGGAGTCGCGGGTACTTAAGTACTCGTCATGGTTCTCGATAAAGTACCTAGGTACCTAGGCACCCCTTACGAAGGAATCGATACGTGTGCGCAT